CTATTTTCCAGCATGGTTTAAGCAACAATTATCATGTATTGTTGCACCAAGTTCTGAAATAATACATTTGAGAAGTTTGTCTAAAGGCTCTCGTCAACGTGTGAATGAATGGCACAGATACTTTGTAAAATGTTACAAATTTCAAACTGAGATTTGGAGTGAAGGGAAGAAAACTATAAACAGTGGTGTAGTCGTAAAAGAAGCTACATACGGTGGTGAGGACAACTTCTTTGGAGTTATCACACATATTTACGAATTGGTCTATAATTATATGGACTCGAAAAATAAAGTTGTCTTGTTTTATTGTGATTGATATGATCCATCTTCCAGAGGAACAAAAATTGATTAAAAAAATATAACACCGTTGAGGTTCGAATAGATAGAAAGTACAAAGAGTACGACCCTTTCATAATGGCACACAATGTCAGGAAAGTTTATTATGTACCTTATCCTTCAATTACCTGACACAAATGAGGATGGTGTGTTATAATCAAGTCCAACCCAATGTGTCATATTGATACTGATGAAGTAATGGAAGATGTTGTATACCAAGATGATGAGATTTCACTTGTTAATGAGGTAATTGAAATTGAGGAGATAATAAGTTTGTGTGATATTGAAGTTAATGGTCAACAAGTTGACACAACTATCTTGTTGTCAACAAATCCCATGGAAGAAAAGCATGAAGAGCTAGGAGAGTCTGAAGACAATAACTTCAGATTCGATGAAGACAATGAAGATTATGATGATGAATAATATGAATATGTATTATGTAATAACTCTTGTGTAATATTATCTTTCAAAATAATCTTGTGTAATATTACCTTATATATATATATATATATATATATATATATATATATATATATATATATATATATATATATATATATATATATATATATATATATATATATATATATATATATATATATATATATATATATATATATATATATATATATATATATATATATATATATATATATATATATATATATATATATATATATATATATATATATATATATATATATATATATATATATATATATATATATATTGTGTAATATTATCTTTTGTGTAACATTCATTGTTTAATGTTTTTCTATCAAATAGAAAAAAAATGCCACCCAACAAAAGCCTCGCCGCAACAGTTATATTAGAGGAGGTGCCTGATTTAGATTTGTTTATTCCTATGCCACAATCGAGTCAAGTGGAAAATCATCCTCCACATTCTACCCTACCTCATATGCATCCTAATACACCTCATATGCATCATTCTCCACCTCTTATGCATCCTACTCCACCTATGTCTAGATCTTTCATTGGATTACTATCCACACCTCCTAAATGCACACCGTTCCCGCCCATATCTCTGACAACTTTTATTAGTCCTACTGGATACACACCATATTTTCCTACTGGACCCAGTACATATTTTCATATGCCTTTCATGCAGTCGAGTGGATCCATTCATATGGAGCTAGGTGTATCTAGCATGCCCGACCCATGCCTTTTGAGGATGATCATGGAGATACCAATGCTCCCAGAGATACCAGTAGTTCTCCCGGAGAAACCAGTGCTCAAGAAGATACAAGTGCTCCTGAGGAGCAAACAAGGAGGGAGCACATCTTGAGGAGAAATGAGCCGCAAAAAGTTAGATATTATCATGGCAGACTTGTGATTTGGCATGACTCTGGATCGTAAGTGTTTATATATGTTTTATATTAATTTAAATTTGAGTTTTATTTAATCAATTCTAACTCAAGATTTAGGTGTTTAGGACCTTGCCCCATCAAGCAATATTGATCATAACAGGCATTATTAAAGAGAAGTATACAAAATTTTGGCCGAGTTATGGAGTTGTACTTGAAGATGACAGAAAAGATTGGTTTAATGCATTTAAGGTATATTTTTTCCTTTATATTTTTTTAGATATATTTCCTTTATATTTTTTTAGATATTCATGATTCTTTATTGCTTAATTTTGAATTCATACAACAATGTAGGAGAAGTGTTGTTGGGATGTTAGAGATAACGTCCAAATTGAAGAAAATTTTCACTCAAAATGTAGTGTCTGATTTTGACACCATGAGGAATGTTAGAATTAAATGGAAGAAAAAAACGTCCACGTTGGATAGGAGTAGAAGTATTTCAAGATCTTATTTCCCATTTGAATTCTGAAAAATTTAAGGAACTATCTGAAAAGACAAAGAAAAATAGAGCATCTGAAGCTGGTGGCTGCAACTATGCAGCGGGTAGTATTAGTGTTGTTGAAGTTGCACGAAGGATGGTACGTAAATTTAATTATTTTTTAATTAATTTATCAGTTAGATTTTAGATTACATATAACTAATTATTTTTTTACTTATTCAATTAGCGTGAAGAGTTGGGTAGAACTCCACTTCTTAGTAAGCTCCATCTAGAGAATCATCTCAAGAGAAATAGAGAGTTTGTTGACGAGCGCGCAAGAAACACTCAAGTGAGTTTTTCTTATATTAAAAATATTTTATTTCTTTTATATGGACCTAACTTATTTGAATTATTATAACATTTAATTTTTTTATAGGAGGAATTTGATAGAAAACTTTCCCTACAGTTGTCAAAGGTATCACATCTAGCAGCGGTAAGAGGACACTAAGGTATCTCAAAGGAACTCTCGATTATGGCATTTTATTTCCTGCAGCTGATAAAGGAAAACAATGCAAGTTAGTGGGATACACTAATTCGAGTTGGTGTAGTGATGCTGAAGATCGAAAATCAACAGCAGGATATGTGTTTATGTTAGGTGGTGCACCAGTTACTTGGAGTTCAAGAAATGAACTAGAGTGGCATTATCATCATGCGAAGCAGAATACATAGATGCTTCTCTTTGTGCATGTCAAGCAACTTGGATGATGAGCTTGGTCGAAGAGATAACATGGAAAGATCATGGAGCACTAACCATGAAGATCGACAACATATCAACTATCAATCTGGCGAAGAACCTGATAGCACATGGTCGAAACAAGCACATCGAAATGAAATTCCACTATCTTTGAGAGCAGGTGGCAGATGAGAAGATGAATTTGGAACACTGCAGAACTGAGAATCAGATTGTAGACATCATGACAAAGAGAGTGCAAGTCGAAGTATTCAAAAGACTGAGAATCATGATGAATATAGATAATTTAGACACAATGAATTAAATGGTGTGTTAAATTGTAATTCGATTATGTCGAAATAGTGTGTGTGTGTGTGTGTGTGTGTGTGTGTGTGTGTGTGTGTGTGTGTGTGTGTGTGTGTGTGTGTGTGTGTGTGTGTGTGTGTATGTCGAATGGAGGTTGCCCTGTCGAAGAGCTTGTGGATCGAAATAAGCTACACACATATTTGATTGCTTTTAAATTTAGATAAATTTAATTTCGATCTAAAATAGATAGATTTGATTTAGTACCAAAATATGTATTTTAGACTTTTATAGTTTTGGACTTTGACTAACCTAAATCTATAAATAGAGAGTAACCTCTAATTTTGTAATCAAGTCAATTCATTGTAATCACAGAATTTGCAGTTGCAAGTGATTAATAAAATTTTCTACAGTTTACGAGTAGAAAGAAACTCTATAAAAAATAATTGTATTCTTTCTTTTATTTTCTCATAATTCATTGTCATTGTGTGATGATATCAATCTTATTCATCAAGATTAATATAAATTCATCATAAGTATTTGATGGATTTCAAACAATTAAAACACTAATTTTCTCAATTTTTTTAATTGTCATTTATGACTTTTTATATATATTAATAATAATTTTTTTTTCAAACTACAACTTTTCTTTTCCTTATAATAATACTCTTTACTTTTAATTATTTATATTTTTTTTCTCTTTACAACAAATACTCTTTACTTTTAATTACTTTTAATTATTTCTATATTTTTTTTCTTTTCGTCTCATATTATTTATCAATATCATTTATCATTATTATTATTTTACCCAAATTCAAAAATAACAATAAAAAAAGTAATTTTATTAAATAATTTTGATTAATCATTACTATATTCAAATTAATATTAATTTAAATAAAAAACTATAAATTAAAAATATTTATTAAATAATAAAATTATACTGATAATTTAAAATAATAAATATTTTACAACATATTTTTTTTAAATGCAATTATTTTAAACAAAGAGAATAAGACTTTTCTCTCCCTTATATAATACTCATTACTTTTAATTAAGAATAATTTTGACATAAAAAATCATTATTACTTTTGCTTTGAACTTTGGAAAACAATAATTAAAAAAACATAAAATTTTCACTTAAAAAAACATACATTTTAACTCAGAATTTCATGTTCTTTTCAACCTTTTTTTTATTAGATAAAAGAAAAATTCTGGTTAGATAAAAGAAAAATTCTTTTCAACTTTTTTTTGTTAGATAAAAGAAAAATGATTAGATAAAAGAAAAATTCTGGTTAGATAAAAGAAAAATTCTGGTTAGATAAAAGAAAAATTCTTTTCAACTTTTTTTTTAAGATAAAAGAAAAATCATTAACGACAATTCTTCCTGCATATTACAATATAAAATTAAACTAATAAATTTGACAAAAATAAATTGACTACTTAAACCAATGCAGGAAAGTTTGGAAAATTCACCATCAAAATGTAAAATCCAAAGTATCAAATAATATATTTGACCAATAATAAAATTAAAAAAAAAAAAAAAAAAAAAAAACAATAAGTAACATAAAATATCTACTATGTACACAATATATATCTACTATGTAGAAGTAATTAACAAGATAAGAACGAAAATAATGACAATTAGAGTAATTGATAATAAAACTAATATCTGCTCAAAGCCTAAAACACAATTAACAGGCTTTAAGTCAATGTTACACCTAACAGTTCCTACTACTAATTCACCTTCCATTCTCCACCGTTGATCTTCCCTAATAGTACCTAAAATTAAATCAACTTTCATTTTCCACCGTTGATCTTACCAAACATAAATTCAACTTCCATTCTCCACCGTTGATCTTTGGGCATTTTGATCGACACTCCCACCGCAAACTTTAATAACGCACCTGCAAATAGGACAAGTCACGTGCGAAGAAAGCCACGTGTCAATACATTCCGGATGAAACACGTGCCTACAGTACGGAACAATCTTGACTTCATCACATTCTTGAAACTCCTCCAAACAAATCGCACAGTCCGGCTGCTTCGTATCCTCCTCGTACGAACAAACCGGCAGAGCCTTCACGGCGGCGGGATCCAACCCCCGTTGCGCAGGAAGCCCACGTCGCCGCCGGGATGAAACTTCGCGGATTGACAAGATGACGAAGCCCGCGAAGAAGAAGGTGGAGAAGATGAGGAGGAAGGAGTAGGCTACGTTGGAAGAGAAAATCGGATGTATCGGTAGCGGTAGATTTAAAGGGCTTGTGCTTGTTCTTGATGGAATGGTTGGAATGGACGGTGAAGATGCGGCTTTGGATTCGGTGGTGGGTTGGATTTGAGGAGGTGTTGAGATTGGAACATCCTCGTACTGTAGGAGCAACCTGCGGTTGTAGAATCTCATGTTTTTTGTTTTTGTTGGAACCAGAATCTAGGAAGAGGTTTTTTTAAGAAGAAATTTTTGGTGGTGTGAGGTGTGTTTTTTTGGGGGCACCGTTTGTTAATCGGTGAGTGAGTAGTGTGTGCTATGATATGGAGTTTAGTTTATAGGAATGTGATTGTTTTTGAAGGGAATGTGTAGGTTTATTATTGGAGAGAGAGATTTGTATTTGTAAGTCCAATTTACTAGAGAAATTCTTGAAAATGTTCTTTTGGTTTCTTGAAATTTGATAAAAAAAACAAAACGACAATATCTAGAGTAAGAAAGTTATTTATTTCGTGTTACTTAAGGTTGGTTGATTGCGATACTTGTAAATTCTTCAAATTTCAACCACCGGCATTTTCACATTTAACTAGGAGTACAACTTTAGAGTTTATCTGATCTAATGACTCAACCGACATTTTCATTTTTAACTACAAGTTTGGAGTTATCTAATGGCTCAATTATGTATCACTTTTACTAATAATAAATATTGGATGTGGATTAAAACTTTGTTTTTGTTTTTTTATGGTTTTCATTTTTTATATATGGATATTTTATTCTCTAACTCTTAAAAATAAATAAATACTATTATTTTATTATTTTATATTTATTGAATAATTAATACATTTTATTTTGAATATATAAGTTATTTAATGAAAATAAAAAAAAAATATATATTTATATTTAATAGTATATAAAGTATTAGTTATATTATATTATATTATATTATATATGGTTTTTGAGGTACACCCACTTTATATAAAGTAATTGTTGAATGAATAAAAAAAACCACTTTAAATAAAGTAATTGTTGAATGAATAAAAAAAACCAAATTTATTTATAAGAATAATTGAAAAGTGCAGTCAATTAATAGTATTTATTAATAATATTTATTAATTGGATTAAATGAGTGTTACTTGCTCAAACATTGAACTCCTATCAATATATTTATACAAACTATTTTTTTATTATAAAAATTAATCATATTATACCAGTCAAATGTAAGATATTTTAAATAACTTAGTCCTTTTAACTATTTAAAAGTATTTAAAAAGACGGTTTGTTACAGAATAATTATAATAAAGGTCTTTTAAGTTAATACATATATTTTTTTTAATTCTTTTTAATTTTAAATTAAATCAATTATTTAAAATACATAAAGTTGTAATACAATATATAATTTAATATTTTAAATACATAAAGTAATATTTAAAAAATATAAAGTTAGATCTTCATTCAACTAAAAAAAGTTAAAGAATTAAATTGTTAAAAAACGTAAAGAACTAAACTATTACAATAAAATAATTTAAAAGGATAACTAAATTTTATCATGACGTGTGATATAAACCTTTAAATTTTATTATTATTATTTTTATTATTATTATTATTATTATTATTATTATTATTATTATTATTATTATTATTATTATTATTATTATTATTATTATTATTATTATTATTATTATAATTTTTGTCTCTCTATTTGATCTAATTCACGAAATTTATCCTTCAATTTTAAATTTAAATAATTTTAATTCTTCTATTTTAAATTTAAACAATTTTGAACTCCTTATCATTCTTTTGCATTTAAAATTAACGATATTTTTATTTTTTAAATGACAATTTATTCATAAAATATGATAAATTACCGTATATAAATTTATTATTGGACTTTGTAGATTAAAATATAAGTTAAAAAACAAAAATTTCATCGATTTTCTATGAAAAAATATGATAGAGACTAAAAATATTTGTATTTAAATAGGAGGACCAAAATTGTTTAAATTTAAAATAGGAAGACTAATTTCGTGAATCAGACAAAATAAGATGATCAAAACTGTAATTTAACCTTATTATTAATTATTATTATTATTATTATTATTATTATTATTTGTTATTGGTTGGCAAAAGAAAGCTCTACATTTGACTAGACATTAACACCTCAACCAACTTTTACATATAAGGTATTCCACGTGAAGAAAGTCGTGGGATTCAACTGGATTTTCACTCACACTTTACTCCTTATTTTTTCTTCATTAGTTTTGTCGTTAAAGGGCTAATATTGTAGGTCACCCTCTTTCAACGACCCCGTCTCACCGTTTCACCTATCATTTTTTATCTCTTAACAGAATAGTGACACTATTTGTGGAAATTGACTTTTGATTCTTGTGAATTTCCACAATCAGGTTTGTCTAATTCAAATCACGATTATTATAGCAGTTACACAAAGATTAAAAAAAGAGACTTCTGTTCTTATTTTTGAGAGCACCTAAAATCCTTCCAATTTTTAATATCTCTCTTTGTTCTTTATTGTTGATTCGATCAGTGGGAAACTGCCTAGCAAGATAGAGCCTCCATCATAGTGTAAGTGCAACAATCGAAAGGGTCAAACGAGGGAGCATCTTTACTTTAGGGACTTTCCTTTTTTGAACAACACACCTTTGTGAAAGACACACCACATATTTACCTAAAACCTTAAGGTGATAGGCGTGTGAATTCTCCCACTTATAAATGCTCAAGTCTTCACATTCTTAACAAATGTGGTACTTTCCCACACTACTCGCGCTTGTAATTCTTTTTCAACACACAGTACTCCATCAAACCAACAATGAAAATCGAGAAGCGGCAAAAGGATGTTGATTTTAAATTTTGATACCACGAGAAAATGGATGATGTAACACCCCAATTCTACCCGGCAATTATAAATATAAAACAGAGTTATAAAATTCATACAACTGAATCAGGATGCCACAAATTCCACTTAAAAACACATTGCATTAAACATAGATACGTAACACTTTAAAATGTCAGATGAACCAACAGCAAAATAAATTAATCTCTTAATTCAACAACTTGAACAACTACGCAGCGGAATCATAATAACATCCTTGTCCAACATTACAGCAACTTCAAAATAACACATACTTAGCAACAATCAAATTAAAGTTCAACAACTGGAATAACAATAACTAAAAGCAACAAGCGTTCATCCCCCTGAGTGTTACGTATCAGAGTAATGACATCGACTCGAACTGTTGAAGGTATATTGCCTTCACTCTGGATTACCTGCACGTTACTAACGTAAGGATAATATTCAAACAGAAGGAGTGAGATATCTAACAATATAATAAAATGTATGATAAATAATATGTTAGATCAGATCATATAATATCACCACTTCACATCTTATAAACAACAATAATCGCAAGGGAACATCAACAACATACAACATTACCGCATCAATACACAACTTCTTTATGCAATCATATAATGTGACTCAATACTATGCAAATGCATGTGGTACCATTGGAATAGAACTCTCATCTCAAAATAATTGCCAATAAATAGAGGCATTCAACAAGGCATAAGCCTTCATCTAAATATTCGCCAATACAGGCCATCTTAACGAGCATCATCTCCATCTTGATATGTAATGTATGCGACACAATCATGAATGTAGTAACAACAACCACAACTAACAACATCTCAATCACGAATCGCCGTTGTCCAGAAGCCTACAACTTAATAGCTGTCAATTATTATAGGCATCTCAACATCATTCGTCAACATAATTCATCAACATAATTCATCAACATAATTCATCAACATAATTCATCAACGTGATTCCATAGCAACTCAACCATAACAACAATACAACGACAGATTGACAATCCCTCAATATTGGCCATAGGCCTGCAACACGATAATGCCCATAAGTATTTGGATAATTCTCGACCTTGCCGATTAATCACTCATCTAATGCTTATCTTAAATTACTAAACCTCTACATATTATTATACTGTAATATTACATCATCATTATTATTATTAATCTTACTGTTATGAACCAAGCAATAATCTAAGATCATCTTATCCTCATCATACTTCACGAAATCATCATAGCGATTAACACAGGAAGCTAACTCTATCCTAATTTAGGTACTAGGATTATTATTTTTATCCTTCATTTTAATCCTTAATAATTAACTTCATCGCGTTATCTATCCAACGCTTCAAACGACACCGGAAACTCAAGTTACAGCCTTTGGAAAAATCTGTCAAAAATTAGACTGCATGAGTCGACGCGCACTTCTTTGAGTCGACGCATAATGGGTTTTGAGTCTTGCATGAGTCGATGTGTAACCTCTTGTGTCGACTCATACTGAATCTGAAACACTGCATGTGTCGACACATGATCCTTTCGTATCGACTCATCCTGAGTCTTAAATCCTGCATGTGTCGACGCATGGCCTTTGAGGTCGACTCATACTGATCTATAATGAATTTATTCTGTTATTTCACTGCGATTTCCCTGCCTTAGGCCCTAAAAACATCCTCTAATCATAGGTATCATCAATAATCCTATGTTTCTACATCAATTATACAACATTTGGCATCATTATTCATCTCTAATCATTGATTCCTCATCAAACAACAATACATACATATCAATCACAAGCAAAACAATTTCTTCCAAATCCAATCCCATATACTACTCATCATAAACCCTATTATAGAGTCAAAACCCCACCCTTATCTTGGATTGAAGGTTGCTCTATAATTTTCCGGTCGAATTCCGTTTTGCTCTTTTCCTTCTTTTCTGCAACTTCCACGTTCTCTTTCTCTCTTCCAACCCTTATTCCTTTTTCTTCTTACTGTTACTTCTTTTTCCTTACTATATCTCAATAACTAATATCATAACCCTATAATTCTCATTATGTATTAATGGGCTTTAACTCCTACACCCCCTTCTACTACTTCTAATCACTAAAATAAGCCCACATCAAATAATATTGTTATTCTAATATTATTCTACAACTTAATCGAATAAATTAATTCAAATAATCACAACACAACATCTATCATCATAACACAACTTTGCAAATAATCCAAAAATAATGTAATTAAATAATTAATTAAATTACAGGCGTTACAACTCTCTCCCACTTAGGATATTTTCGTCCTCAAAAATTTACCTTAATC